ACAAACAAATCATAAACAAACAAAACACATATAGAAACAAACAAAACACCCACACACACGAACACACACACACACACACACACACACGAACACACACACACACACACACAAACACACACACACACACACGAACACACACACACAACACACACACACACACACACACACACACACACCCAAGGTCGCCGTACTTCCTCGGCAGAGCTTTGGTCACGAGTCCCGGCGCCGCTCCCCCGAAAATGGTGGTTTCAGTTTCCGTTTCCTCGCTGAGGCTTCGTCGACGCTTCCTTCTAGCCGATGGGTCCACGAACGAAGATGTTCGATGTTGCTTCTTATATTTTAAGATGTTGGGTGTTTATACTTATTTGTAAGATGTTAGATGTTTTTTTTTTAATATTTGGGATGTTGGATGTTTGGTGTTGATATTTTTATGAAGATTAAAGGTTGAATGTTGATACTTATTTTTAATCTGTGTATTCGCATATGCAAGCTGCATGGTGTCTTCCTCGGAGCTGGTATATTAGAATTTATCGCAGAGTAAATATACAACAGACAGTAAATATGCAAACTAATTAGATATGCAAGAAGTATATGTGCTTTAAGTAAACATGCAACAGTCGTTTTACTCGTCATTTCGTGAAGGTAAACTTATGCCCGACTAAGAACCGACTGGTATGCCTTGCGTATTTTCATGACTTCCTTAGACACTTGCTTCTCTAATGCAAAGGAACGAATGATTTCGAATTTCCCTCTTCCACTTCCTTCTCTCCAAGGTAGCTCATAATAATTACAATATATGTTGAAATTAAAAGTGGTTAGGTCTTCAAATTTGAATATATTTTGTTCATGTTCTGTGTTGTTATTACTCGTAACACGAAGTGGGTTTCTTTCCTTTGTCATCTAAACATTCCTTTATATGTAAATACACATTGGAATATATTTGCAAGTTCTTCTTCACTCCGTAATTCATCAGTTGGCTTCATCCACGTTCTTCTTTCCTTTGTTTTTTTCTAATTTTTATCACCACAGCGTAATGTGTCCGAGGATGTATGCTGTCACTGGAGAGATATATAACTCCGCTGCTAGTCCACTTGCATTGCTAACATTACAGCCTAACCCGAATGACAAATGATGCATTGTGATTGATTATGAACTACAATTTTATCAAGCGAAGAAGTTCAAAGTCGAATTCCTGCGATGAATTTTCCAGAAGGTTCCGTCGTCTTCAAGAGCTCTGCGATTATTCACTCGATATCAAGTCTGGCATCCACAGCGCTGCCAGTGAACCTTAGATGGCCGAGGGGTGTGTGGAGTGGTGCTAGGTAGGGGGGGAGGGGGAGCGGGGGTTATCAAGCCCTCTCCGTCTTTGTCTACTGTACACCGTCAAGCAGCAGGCAACCTGTTATGCTAATCATTACATCTGTCTTCTTGATAACATGATAACCCACTTCATGTAACTTTCGGCGCCAGATATGTATGGAAACTTTGCATTAAGTGATGATATCGTGGAAATACTTAGGTTTGCAATCAATTGCCGTTTATCACTGCATTGCGGAATACAACAACAACAGGAGTGACTTCTTATAGTAGATGCGATGCCCAGTTCCTAAAGGTGCATTGACATTTCCGCCTTTTTGTCACGGGAACTTTTCGTACTTTATTCTACGACTAGCAGGTGCTGAACAGAGAAACGGGTTTAAAAACGTCAAAACGGAACATGGTTCTGATGCGTGTCATGCTGAAATAAACTTTTTAAGACAAGTTTCGAATACTTCATATGTAAGTCGACTAACCTCCCAACATACTAGTACTTGTGCCTCAACTTTCGTGACGTCACTTTAAGAGGCGGAGCTTACTGTTACACTAGGCACATGTATTCACTACAGCAACCTATAGTAACACGTATCGGTCTAAATAAGTAAAGAGATTTTATGAAATCCTGCATCGGAATTATCAACTACTTGTTTAAAACCAAGTTTGCACTAAATCAATATGTACTTTTAACGTAGAGAAGAGAGTTTGTAAGAGCGGGGTCGGAGAACTGTCATCTTTGGCCCGGGGGTACAAGCGTCAGCCAATAGGCGGGAAGTTCATGACGTGCCGACCCCAGGGGATACGGCAACCCGGATGCCAACCCTTATACCCCTGGGCGGAATAGCGGCACTGATCAGCCTCTGTAGAAGTGTACTAAGTATAATGTATTTAAATAAATCGACGAGGAGATTAAGAAGCAACAGTAAAGATACGCAAGACCGTTCCGCGCCTTCTGGTTCCAGGCGCTGCGGGAAGTGTACACCAGTTGCGGTTGGAAGTCTGACTTTCTGTACCTATCCTGAGGTGTTCATACCTCGAGGTCCTGCAAAAGAATCCCCGAAGAACCACTGCTGTAGCAGAGCGAGGAAGGAGGAGGGGGTGGGAGGCGGTGAGGGGTTGCCAGACGTCATCGAGCAGTAGGACTAGCGGCGGGGGGCGGCAAGGCACAGTACACTCGCCGGGACGCGGTCTCGCATCGCCATTCCAACTCCAACCATCAAACGGAGAGGACCACCGACCTCCTTCGTCCCCACCGACAGACAAGGTGGGTCTTAGCATTTATTGGTTCTAAGTTCCCACCAAGTCCAATCCACGACATACGAGTGATAACCGGCACCGTATCTCTGTCGATTTTTTCGACAGAGCTAAAACAAGTGAGAAGTGGCTCGACAGAAGTGCAAAAGTGATTTCTAGATAGCAAAAAAAGATGCATTTATCAGCACTACGAATTATTACGGGTATCTGGCAAGTAAGAAACGATCAAGTAGGCTAAGTGGTGCGCGACTGCGTGGGTGGCGTGACATGAGCCTGGCCCGGCGCGTCGATAATCACACAGCAAAATTTTGTAACAGGTCTCCTTGGCAATCGTCTAATGTGTAGCAAATTGAGCTTGCCTGTATTTTTGCCAAGTTTGGTTAGAGAAAACCTTGTTCAGGCTCCAAAGATATAGATGGACTGAAATAAAATAAAGTTTATATCAGTAAAAAAGTATGGATATAAAAAAGAAATGCAATGTGCCGATTGTGCGTGTGAAGAGGACTACTAAAAAAAAAACAAGAACCGAGATGAAAATTCAGTATATACAGAAATGCCAATTAGCGAGTTTCTGATCGGTCTGGGCAAGGTCACCGATGACTTCCGTGCATCTCCCAAGCTGCAATGATGCTATGTTGCTTCGTTTCTTTTTCTGTCTTGCTGGCGTGAAGATTACGTTTGCTTATTAGTCATTTAGATAATATTTTTGTAAGATTAAAAAAACGATATAATAACGTTGTAAGGTAATCACTATAATGTAGCGACTTCAACGCATCCCCATAAACCAATCCAATAAATCTATCATTATTTGCACGGTTTTGGAGATCTTATTACGAACACATCGATTCATAAAAAGGACAAACTTTTAAAAATTGCACATTTATGAAGACACGGCAAGCAACACCACTCAATAGCCTACTTTATGACGTAAAACCACGAGTGACCGCGATCTCACTACGGGCGTCGGGGGTGTGTGGCGCCTCCCTTGGTACCTACAGACACTGCGGTTGAAGCCCGGCAAAAATAATTGTTAAGGCTCTTTTTTAGAGTTTTCAACCTGTCTTTACGAGTTCGTAAATTTCTTTTTTTATATATGTATGCGGTCCATATTCACTATATTTTTTTTACCATTGTTTATTCGAAAATAAGTTGAATTTTGTTTATAGTCATATGCTTTGATTCACACATGTAAGAAAAACAAGGCCTCGTTAATCATACATTTTATTTAATCATATTTGCTTAATATCGTCTTCATCCTTTAAGAAACTAATTGACTTGAACCCAGAGAATTAATACATATCTAAACGGTTACATCATAAAACAAAGGACAGACAAATGAATCGCACAGGAAACGAAGATAGAAGCCGAAAAGCATGATAATGATCGAAGAAAAATGTGGCCGCGACACTCGTCAGTTCACTTCCAAGTTCTTGGTCAGGGTTCAGGTGCGTGCGCGTGCATAGGTGGCAGGGTACGCTCGCCACATTTTCATTATTATCAGGTCATCCCAGTAAAAGTGTGTGTGAGGCGTACGACCACTATTTATAGATTTATTTAAATAACGACTTTTCCTTATATATATATATATATATATATATATATATATATATATATATATATATATATATATATATATATATACATACATACATACATACTTGTGTTTATATGTGCATATATATATATATTATATATATGCGTGTATGTGTAATTTTATTACATATTGTATGCCTATACAACAAAGACATGCGCACACGCACAGTCAATAACACACACACAAACACACACACACATACACACACACACACACACACTTATATGTACGTCATTTCATATTTGTGTTTGAAGACATGATTTTTATTCAGCTAAATGACTCCCATCTCCACGCATTTTCTTTTCAAATAACACAAAATTACCACCCAAAGTGTCAAGGAGGATCAAAGCTTGTGTTTCTTATACGACATTTCTTACTATTCTTATACGAATTTCAGTCACATGTTTCTTTTACTCCTATTCTCTGTGTCTATTTATTGCACATGACGGTTTTAATTTTACACTGTACGCCGATATTTCGTATACACACACCCACACACACAAACACATATATATATATACAAAGGAGTAAAATCCACACGGATATATCGTATATGGCTACCTTATGGATTTTTTTTCCGTTATTTTTTTCTCCCAAGTTACGGAAGGCGGTGGTAGACCCGACCTTGATCTTGGCCGCCCTACGAATCCACTTCCATCCCCATTCCTTCATCCTTCTTCTGTTTTTTCATCTCTCATTTCTTTCTTTTCTTTCTTTTTTTCTCTCTTTCTTTTCTTTCTTTTTTTCTCTCTTTCTTTTCTTTCTTTCTCTCTCTCTTTCTTTTCTTTCTTTCTCTCTCTCTTTCTTTTCTTTCTTTCTCTCTCTCTTTCTTTTCTTTCTCTCTCTCTCTTTCTTTTCTTTCTTTCTCTCTTTCTTTCTTTCTCTCTCTCCCTCTCTCTTTCTTTCTTTTTTTTCTTCTTTCTTTCTCTCTCTCTCTTTCTTTCTCTCTCTCTCTTTCTTTCTTTCTCTCTCTCTTTCTCTCTCTCCTCCTCCCTCCCTCTCTCTCTCTCTCTCTCTCTCTCTCTATCTCGCTCTCTCCCCCTCCCTCCCTCTCTCTCTCTCTCTCTCTCCCTCTCTGTTTTTTTCCTATTCTTAATCATCGTCGTATGCGACTTGATGAATTAATATTTATTTATTGTCTCTTACGTACTGTTGCTGGGTTTTACTCCATCCTTGTAGACACGTTATGTGTTTATAATTGTAAATGTACATCTGTGCATCATTTTCCGTCTCTGTAATCTTGCATCGCCATGTCCTTCGCAGGTATTTACTAAAACTTTATTTGCTTATCATTCTTTTAGTATCTTTGTTCTGTTCCCTTTTAGATTTTCTTCTCACTTTTAGATATTTTTTTTCCTTAGTGACGAATCTCTAGTAAACTTTCGTGTATCACATTCATCTAAGGCAGGTAGTTTGATCCAGTGTACGAAGGTATCCTTGTAGCCTTCAGACAGAGCGGAATACCTTAGTGGCAACATCACGCACTTATTATACTGGAGTGGTACAAGCCTGATGCCTTAGGCTAACCTCTTTCAAGTACTCATCGCCGCTAAAACCTTTCCTGTGGAACATCTTCACCTTAATTATACATATATGTGTATGTTTATATAAACACACACACACACATACACACACACACACATACACACACACACACACATAGACGTGTGTGTGTGTGTGTATATACAGAGAGAGATAGATAGATCGGTAGATAGGTAGATAGATATGTATGTTTAATTTGTTTGCATATTCAACTGAAAATCAGTTTTCTTTTTCACTTCACGAATCCTTAAAGCAACAAAAGAAAAAATTCCTTTGACATCGCTCTAAATTTTGTATCCTTCTGGTTGAATCCGCTTTTCGTAGCCTTGGAAAAGGACACATTTTGTATATGAAAAAAAGATTGAAACTGTCATTTGCATTCCGATTTATTACAGAGAGGTCGGACCGAAATCGTGACGAGGCTATAACCACGCAAAACTGCTATTTTTAACTCGTATTCTAATTCTCATTTCATTTTCAACAGTATCTTATAATATGATAACAAAAATTGGAAGACAGTTAATTCATCAACGTCAGCAGATTGTAAATTTTGTGAGATCACGCGACCTCATCCTCTCTATAAAAATGCTTCCCGCGTATATCTTCATGGTGTCAATTTACATTCTAAATACCCCCTTGTCAATTTCTTTAGAAGGCTATCCCGCTAAATGTGCATTCCTGTCAATGTATTTTTTTCTTTATGTCGTTGGTTTTTTTTATTTTGTTTTCGTCGTTGATACCGAGTCTTCCACAAAAGAGCCGCGTAATGAATCGAAGTTTAACGCCAGGTTGAAGACGGCTCCGGTAACCATGGCTGGCCGAGACCTTGGGAAAGCCGTGCCCTTTGTGAACCACGCGCTCATCCTCTGCCCAGTCTCGCACATCCTTTTGTTAACATGTCTTTTTTTCCTGCCTTTTTGTCTCCGAAATATGTGTAAAGTAACCAGCTTTGCGGTCAGCTAAACTAATTTATCTGTGAAATATATCCACACTTTTATATATACTTAGATTTATTATATATGTCATGTAATCTCGACTATGAAATTTCTTACTCACAAATTTGTATAGAACTGTGTAAAGTCTATTTGGAATATACAGCATAAATATAACGAATATTAGATTGGCGCTCGGCTTTCGTTAATATTTAGGTAAACGCGACTTTAAGAAAAAAGATAACTTCGTCAACGCTATTTATATCACTTAATTGAAGCCCACATTAACCCCACCGCTTCCGGAGAGGATTCCTTCAACAGACACCTGTTGTTGTGTAGTCTTGAGAGCAATATTGCAACTGACGCCATAAGATTGTAGAGCATCACTAACGGTGATGAGTGTATATATTATATATATATATATATATATATATATATATATATATATATATATATATATGTGCGTGTGTGTATGTGTATGTGTGTATGCATTTGTGTGAGTGTGTGTGTTTGTGTGTGTGTGTGTGTGTATGTGTGTGTATGGGTGTGTGTGTGTGTGTGTATGTGTGTGTTTGTGTGTGTGTGTGTGGTGTGCGTGCACAAACACACATACAGATAGATAGTTAGACCGACAGATTACACACATGTCATAGCGAGAGACAAAGAGAGATTACTTAAGGATTTTTCATGTTTGTATTTTCTCTTAGTAATCTCGCAGCGTCCGTACGTAACAGATATAATCTTGGAAATGACTTCTAGCTTCTGAAGAATAATTAAAACGTCATAACGTTACAAACACATATCGTTAAGCCTAAAACACGAAAGAAATAAAGTTCACGTGGATCAACACATCATCCGGGAGCAATATAACTTTATATTACTTCCATCCTCTTTTTTTATAAATCGGATTTCGTTTGTTGTTTTTATTCACTTCGTCATCTG